GTAAATATATTCTTTAAAATATTATTATAATAAATTATAATAAGTTATAATAAGTTATAGTAAGCTATGATAAGTTACAATAAGTTACAGTAAGTTACAGCAAGTTGTAGCAAGTTGCAGCAAGTTGTGATAAGTGTCAACTTGTAATAAGTTATGACAAGTTGTGATTTTTATTAAATTTTTTAATAAGTTGCAACATATAGTTATAATATAAGTGTTACAATATAGTAATTGTGACTATTATCTTTAGTTCACATCAAATTAAATTCTCATTATTTATGATGAGCACTGTATATAATATAATTAATTATATATAACTAATAATTTATTTTTTTATTTTTGTTAATTAGCTTATTAATATAATTATTTATACTTCTTGTTAATCTAATAAAAATATGAGAATTAATATTATTTCACTCTTATTTGACTATTTCTTGAAATTCACTTATAGATAGTATTTTTTTTCATTAAATGAATATTAATCTTCTTTTCAATCTTTTTTTTTTAGTAATACTTACAAATTTTTGATTAGATTCAGATCAGGTGAGTTTGCAGATAATTTTTAAGATCTTTTATAATGGTAATAATATGAATAGGAGAATTATCCTGTTGAAAATACTATCTAAACTCAGCTTTATAAGTATTTGAACAGATCAAATTCAAGAATTTTACTGTATCTGCAAGAATTTAGATTCCTGTAAATAAAAATAACATGATTGATTCTTGTAAAGAAAATGCCTTCCATGCATGAACTTTATATGGATATTTCATTTTCATGACGATATTATACTAGTTGAATATTCTGAAACATCTGAAACGTGATTTCATCTGAAAAATTATTTGATTCCAATTATTATTGACCCCACTCAAGACAAGAAGCAATATGATTTGGCTTGAGAAGAGGAATTCCTTGTGGTCTACAAATAATACGAATCACTTTTAGAAAGATTCGTTCCCTATTCTGTTTTCTTCCTATTTCTATACCATCATCTAATATATAAATCCAAGTCGCCACTTTTTTCCTCACCCATGTCTTTCGGAATCACTCACTAACTTCTTTCGTCTGTCAGCAACAATAAATCACACATGTCATATGTCTATCTATTGACAAACGGGTTACCTGTGATCCTTGGATCCTTTGATGACAGCCGGAAACGATATAAACATCTCCAAATATAAATACGGAATAAAAAATCCGTTCCACAGAAATCGTGCTTTATATCGGGAATCCGTGCCGTTATAGAGTTTTGAGATTTCGGTATAAACAGGTTCGTCGACTGTATTTAATTATCAATAATTCAAGCATAACAATAAAAATCAAATTTTGATCATATAAAAATAATTATTTTATTATACATTTTTAGCTATTTAAAAAAGAATAATACATTGAATAAATCTAAATATGAAATATACGTCTTTTGTAATTAAATATATATTACGTAATAATAAAAATAAATTATTTATATTTATTTATATAATCAAAGTTAATGAAAATATCCATATTCCTAGAATCATACTACCGCATAACTTGAAGCTAAATCTGTTTGCATTATTTGATGAATTGTCAACACTTGAAGTACTACTTGTTGCACGAGAACCTGTATTCGTAGTGCCTTTATTAAAACTAGGAATATTACTAGAAGAGTCTGCATTCGTAGCAGTAGTTGTAGTAGCTGTGACTTTACTCTTATTCGATCCAGTCTCAGGATTCCATTGTACAGAAATTATATTAATAGAAGACTTTGATGATTGTTGCGTTGGCGAGATCAAAGGAGACGTTGCTATTGATGTTGGTTGTGATGATATTGATGTTTGCATTGAAGAAACTGCTGCTGTTGATGGCAGTGAATTAACAGGAGAAGATGAAGATATTGTTGTTTGCGTTAAAGGAGCTGCTGTTGATGGTGATGAATTAACAGGAAATGGTGATGTTAAAGGATTCGTTACTGTTGCTGTTGGTGATGATGGATTAACAGGAGGTGGTGATACTTGTTGTGGTGTTAAAGGATTCGTT